TCTATGCGCAAATGCTTATATTTAATCTTTTATATATACAAGAGAATTTGGGGGATTGTTCCTCTTTCCTGTTCTACCACTCTACTCAATTTCAAAGGATTCAAAACTTTTTGGATTTTCAAAGCACTTGAATATCTGTTGACTATGCTATACAATGCCATTCTCGGTATTGATAGCAAATCAGTTGCTGAGACCATCATCTGTGAACTATCCTTAAATATCACAATTCGATTCTTACTATGTTACAGAGCACCTGATTATGACATCGAACATGTAAACAAGCTAAATACACTACTAACATGGGCTGCATCCTGCCCATACCCTTTTATCTTTCTTGGTGACTTCAATCTACCTCATATTGACTGGATCCTAAATGAATGTACAACTGAAACCATACACGCAACCTTCTACAATGCTATTACAAATCTGGGACTGGAACAACTAATAACCAACAACTCTAGACTAAACAACTGCCTCGATCTCATCTTCTGCAATAGTTTGAATTTAATTTACGGAATACAAACTAAAGAACCCTTTTCCAGCAGTGACCACAATATGATTGACTTTTGTCTCAACATACGCCCACACAAAAATCACCACAATGATATAATCCCCAATTATAACTTCAAAAAAGGCAACTATGATCTTATAGACAACGATATCTCATCTCTTGATTGGCAATTTCTATTCACTGGATGCAATACTGTTGAAGACCATTACAACATATTTTTACTTGAAGTCAAAAGAGTCATGAAACTATATGTACCAACAACAACTCCCCCCCCCCAAAAAAAGCAGATTACCCATAACAATAAGGAAACTTCAATCCAAAAAGAGATCACTCTGGCGGAAAAACAAATCTGGTCACGTTGCCAATTTCAAAAGCCGATACAAAAATTTATGCCACCAGATAAAGACCGAATGCACCAATTATCACATTAAACAAGAGGAAAACCTTCTAAGCACCAATTCCACCCGTGCTTTTTACAATTTTGTAAACAACAAACTAAAAGACTCAAGGTCCATCCCACCCTTGATAGGACCTGATGGTAAAGACTGCAACGACGACACCATTAAAGCCAACCTCTTTAACACATTCTTCGGCTCAGTATTTGTAAACAGCAATGGATCATGCCCAGTATTTCCTAGCCGTACCACAGATAACCACAATGATCTAATACATATCGATTTTACAGAAGACAATGTTGAAAAAGCACTACGCAATCTAAAACCATCTCTATCTATTGGACCGGATGGAATATGTGCCTACTTCTTTAAAAAGCTATCCACTGCCATAGCCAAACCTCTAAGCATAATCTTTGAAAAATCTTTCAGGACCAGCTCCTTGCCTAACCTATGGTCACAAGCCACAGTCATCCCCATCTTCAAAAGGGGAGACCCCAGCCTAGTTGAAAATTACAGACCAATCTCCTTATGCTGCGTCACCTGTAAAGTCATGGAATCAATTATTAACCAATCCATCATCCTCCACTTAGAGACAAACAACCTACTCTCCAATAAACAATTTGGTTTCAGAAAAAAACTATCCTGTAATCTGCAACTCTTACACTGCAAAAACATATGGACGACACAACTCGATCAGAGCAAAGCAATAGACGCAATCTACATAGACTTCTGTAAAGCCTTTGATTCAGTGGTACACGACAAACTACTCCTAAAAATAAAATCCTATGGTATCTCTGGACAACTGCATAACTGGATAGAAGCATTCCTGGAAAACAGACAACAAATGGTCAAAATTGGGAGCGTCCTATCAAATTCTGTACCTGTCAATAGTGGTGTCCCCCAAGGCAGTGTTCTAGGACCAACTCTCTTCATACTCTACCTAAATGACCTCTGTGATCATATTAAGAGCAACTGCGTTCTTTTCGCTGATGATGTAAAACTTTTCAATACCACAGACAATACTGCTACCCTACAAAAAGATCTTGACTATGTATCTGAATGGTCAAACAAATGGCAACTTCAAATCTCAACAAATAAATGCTCTGTCTTACATATTGGCAAAAAAAATCAGAAAATAAAATACAAGCTGAATAGTCAAGATCTTGTTGATGACCCAAGCTCTGTAAAGGACCTTGGAATACGCACCTCTAATGATCTAAGTGCTAGAGCCCACTGCAACTACATAGCCAAAAAGGCATTAAGAGTTGTTAACCTAATCCTACGTAGCTTTTTCTCTGGTAATATCACACTACTAACTAGAGCATACAAAACATTTACTAGACCAATACTCGAATACAGCTCATCAGTCTGGAACCCACATTACGTATCTGATATTAGCACAATTGAGAAAGTCCAGAAATATTTCACAAGAAGAGTTCTCCACTCCTCTACTCGTTGTAGAATACCTTATGCCACCAGACTTGAAATTCTAGAACTAGAAAACCTTGAATTATGCCGTCTTCGGTCTGATTTAAGCATGTTATATAAAATCATACATTGCAATGTCCTACCTGTCAATGAATACTTCAGCTTCAACCATAACAACACAAGAGCACACAATAGATACAAACTCAAAGTTAACCGTACCAAACTTGATTGCAGGAAATACGACTTCAGCAATAGAGTGGTCAATGTCTGGAATACTCTACCTGACTCTGTGGTTTCTTCCCCAAACCCCAAAAACTTTAACCTTAGACTGTCTACTATTGACCTCACCCCTTTCCTAAGAAGTCTGTAGGGGGCGTGCATAAGCGCACCAACGTGCCTACCGTCCCTGTCCTATTGTTTCTCTTATTCTTCTTTTATTTTTCTTATATGTACCCATTTCATGTATTCACAACTATGTATACACTTATACTTATTGTAAACAATTGGCAAATCAAATAAATAAATAAATAAATAAATAAAACAAATCCCAGATTAGCTTACTGGACATCATAGGCTGTCTCCATTTCATGCAGAAGAATCTTTCACTTTTCAGCTTCTCTTCTGATAATTTATAACATCTTCTAAAGATGTTATCTTTATATATTGATTTGAGGCAATGGGATCTTCAGAACCCCATTTGATGTATAATAGATGGCACGCAGTATACTGAAAAGGGTTTCCAGTTGTGTGCATTTGATACTCTGCTACTTGGATCGTCAATTTTACCTTGCATAACTCTTAAGTGGTGCTTTGGGGAAACTGGTTAGTAGAACCTTGTCACTGAAGGCTATGATTACTGTATAATGGAAATTAGCTCCTCCTTTTTATAGGCCAAACCAATGCCACTTTGTACATGTATGGGTGTTCTTCAGCTGAAAAAGGGACATTCTGTGTTAGGTTATGATAGTGCATGTCTTCATCTACTTTGTGCTCCTGCATTGTATTTTGATCAGTGATAATGGTACAATAATTCAGGTAGATTTGATTTTGGCATTGGGTGGACAAAGACATGCATGGACACAAGAGAAGGATGACTGGAAAAAAAAACCTTCCAATGATTATTTACTGTCTTTTAAGCAGCAGGCTGTATATTTATGCCGATTTCTCTGCTTCAGGGAGCATTCCTGATCGCCCTGAACAAAGTGAATAAGAGTAGTTTGCTTTGCAAATGAATGCAAATGGGAGTGCCTTTGGGGAGCCCCTTTAAACAAGGGGCAAGGCCCTCTGACGATGAGTGAAGCTGCCATTTGGACATGGTGAAAAGAGCACGCTGGAGCCATTGATTGGGGGAGACAGTAAAAAGTCAGGGCCCCGTTTCTGCTTGCAGTGCAGCAGGCGGATGTCAGTGCAGTTCGAGCACAGTGGGAAAATGACAGGCAGGATTAGTGTCAGGCAGAAGCTTTGCTGTAGCTGTGGAGATGGTCCCAGGGGTCATTCACCTCTGACTGTTGTTTAGCACTGATGGCTCTGTAATGCAAACTGCTTGATGCCTCCCTGTTCATTATCAGAAATAGTGATTAGGGGGAGGTATTTGTCATAAAAGGCTCCTTTTAGAAATAAAAGAGAAATGGGAAGCTGTTGCTCACTGCCTGTATCGGTGCAGAGGAAGCCTGATCCAGATGGTGTTTTGATAGGAAAGGACAGTGGAAATTGCTCTTTGGGTGCTTGTGAAGGCTTTTTCATACAGTTCCTTTTGCTTGGAGAAAGGTTTCAAAAAGGAAGAAATTGTTCACAATGGGTGTGTCATGTTAGTGCCTGGAAGTTATATGTATCCATGTATTCATAACTATGTTTTACTTATACCTATTATTTTGTAAGCAATTGACAAAAAGAAAGAAAGAAAGAAAGAAAGAGAGAGAGAGAGAGAGAGAAAGAAAGAAAGAAAGAAAGAAAGAAAGAAAGAAAGAAAGAAAGAAAGAAAGAAAGAAAGTAAGTAAGTAAGTAAGTAAGTAAGTAAGTAAGAAAGTAAGTAAGTAAGAAAGAAAGAAAGAAAGAAAGAAAGAAAGAAAAAGAAAATTGATGGGTGTGTTTTCTACCCTCCCTAATGAATGCACTGTGCTTAGGAGCTATGCAGGCTTGGCTGTTTTTAACACATTATTCACAATCTCTCAAAAACTCTTTTCTGCCAGAGCAATTTATAACTTAACAAATATATCTATTTTGTTAAATAAGGGCCTGGTTCGTCATTTCTAAATATGCTTTCCCAAGGAATATATTTTCTGTGCTTTTTTTTATAGTGCCTGTAAGTTAAAACATTTGTTCATGAAACATATTTTTAACATACTGTAGTGCTTTTTTATTTTATTTTATTTTATTTTTCTCCTTGTATGTGAACATGGGTGCATTGACACTCAGAAAAAGATAGAATTATTGTGTTAAGTAGATAGGCTTGGTCTTCAAGGTATAGGTGTACAGCACCTATGACATAAGTCGGATAAGTTGGATCTTCTATAAGTAGGCGCCATTCAAAAACTGTAAAAACATTCTTATTGCTTAACAGATTTTATTGGACTGCTTTGCTTAAGGATTCTTGTTTGGTGTTTTTAGTTACTATAAAAACCCTTCTAGTTTCTTGGTATAATAAATGTTTTGCAAATATTTTACAGGACCCTGAATGGATAGAAGAGGATCTTAGCCAACTGACAAGAAGTATGGTTAAGTTCCCAGGGGGGACGCCTGGTCGATGGGAAAAGATTGCTCACGAATTGGGTCGATCCGTGGCAGATGTGAGTTCGCTCAAATTTGCATTGTATGAACAAACCAGCACAAGATAAGCAGGATAGAGGGCAGACCTTGGCAGAGTTAGACATTGTCTTTGGATGAAGGGTACTACCTTTTTAAGACCTGGAAATGAACCATTAGGTAACTGGGCAAGAAACAGATGTCAGCTGGCCTTCCCACTCCACAATTAACAGCTGTAACTGATCAGCTATATGGAGATTCTAGTGCTTAGAGACTTAAGCTACTGTAACCTGATAACCAAAAAAACAATACTGGTTTTAGTCTTTGTGATAAACCTCGTTGCTGGAAGAGAACATTTGTCAGACTTAAATAAAGATTATATTTCTGCATAACCTTAAAAGAAATGAAAAAGCAGCAGAGAGGGGGGAAAAAGAAACCTCATTAGCTAATAGTATTTAGACAGGTGGTATCCATTAATTAGAACCTGAGGTGCTTGCCCTGGACTGAGGTCTGTATATATGGTGATGTAAAAATGACTAATTTGTCAGATTGTGAAATAAAAGAGTGTTTAATTTAATATGGATTTTAAAAAAGTTTGTGTTTCTAAGAAAAGAAATAGGATTATATTCAGATGCTTTCCTGATAAGGAAAGTCAATGAGGGTGCTTGTCAGTGGCTGTTTGGCACTTGCTGGCATATGGTATCTCTGATTATTAATCGACAATTGAAATACTGCACTAGGAAAATGCAAGGAAAGAAGTTCTGTTTACTTCAATGTAGCTTTGTTCCACTTGAGCTGTTTCTGTTTCTCATTTCCAAGTGCTAGGCAGAACCACAAAAGTATAACTGTCAAGCATGATAAATCAGGAAATCCAGGAAATTCAAATGAATATAAAGATTTATTGCAAGCTTAAGATCTCTACAACAATCTGAACTACTAATGGTCAAAGCAAATTGGTGGTACATAAGAGTCAATGGAATTCAAGGTGGGCTGGACTTCGATCTTTTGTGGGTTCAAAGGGACTCAAGACTGATGATGTGTTTGAACCCTTCCTCAGCCTCAGCCTGGTCATCTCCTGCAGACTGTTTTCCAACACAGACACACATCTTTCCTGATGGGCTAGTTTTCTATTATTTATTTTTATTTTTACTATGTTGTTTACTACATGTGAAAACTAGACTGATATCTGCAAAAGTGAAAAAAAAAGATTTTTGTAGAAGAGAAGGGCTAATAATTAAATCTCTGCTTTGTGCCCATGTCAGAGTTAGCTAAATACCACAACCCCTAGCCACACACGCTCTCCCTTCTCCAGCATGCACTTACTTTCCTTAATCTTGCCTGTGCCTTTAGCCCAAACTAGTGTCTCCTTGTGGCATTCTGTACAAAGTGTCTCTCAGGCCCCTGAGCTTTTTCCAGTAGTTCTGCAGCTGCTGGCCCTGGTTGCTCAGCCAACAGTCCTGTAGCCCATTTTTCATCAGATATCCAGGAGTGCCAAGATCTAGCACGAACCTTGTTAACCTGGGGGACATCTGAGATGATACGGCTTTCTGAAATTTAAGCCTCACCATATTTTTTAGGGGAGAGGCAATCTTTATCTGATTCTTTATCGGATGAGATTTTTCTGGCATAGTTCTCAACTTCCTCAGGAAACAGAAGCCCCACAACCATGTCAAAGTAGTGCCCCACTGGGGTATTATTTTTATTTAAGATTTAATCTTCAATTTGATTCACAGTCTGGGACTGGTAAAAACTTAACATTTCAAGTTCTAACAAAGAACTTCTAAGAACTATTAAGGTAGTTCTGAGTAAGGGTATTATTATTATTATTATTATTATTATTATTATTATTATTATTATTATTATTATTATTAATTGCACAATCAGTGAGGTGTTCAGACTGAGTTTGGCATTTTTGTCTACCTATCATGTCCTTACCAAGGACCTGGGATAGGCAGGTCTGGATATTTGACAGTATTATCGTTGCAAGATGGAAGCTGTTCTCAGTAAATCTGCCTTTTGTAATTGATTGAATGACAAATTTGTCAATGCCAATGATGTTCAAATGGTGCTCCACTTATTTTGAATTGCAGCTGAGGCACCTATTACTATTGGTACTAGTATTTTGCTTGCTTTTTCATTCTAGTTCTATTTGTAGGTCCTTGTATTTTGTTATCTTCTCCATTTTTTTCTCTTCTGTTCTGCTGTCTCCAGGAAAAGCAATATCCACTATCCAGACTCTTTTGCCTTTCTTATCAATAGTCTGAGGTGTTATGTGGCAGGTGCTTGTCTGTTTGAATTCTAAAGTCCCAGAGCAATTTAAGTTCTTTATTTTCTATGACTTCCTGTATTTTATGGTCCCATCAATTCTTGCTTGCAGGCCAATGATATTTCTTGCAGATCTTCCAATCCACTATTGTTGCTACTTTGTCATGCTGCTATTTCTAGTCAGTCTGGGTGATTTCCCAGCATACTATCTTCAGTGCATCATCTTCATTGTAGTTCAAGTCTTGCCCAGGTGTTGATTGCCTCCATTAGTATTTCCTCCATTGAGTTTGGACTTTAAGGTCTTCTTCACACTCTTGACCTCTAATCTTTTTCTTGACTTCAGTGTGCTTGATGTTGTCAGCTTGAAGAATACCCAGGTATTTCTAGTAACCATCTTTATCCAGACTCTTAATCTTATTTTTATGGGGCATCTTGATTCTTTCAGTTTGCACTATTTTTCTTTGTTTGATAATGAGTCTGGCACATTGCAAAGTCTTGACTCTATATACTGTACGGACAGTATTGAGCAGCAATTCTATTTCAGATGGTGTTTTTTCCTACAGCTTCTGATTATTCGTGTAAAGTAGGTGGGATAGTTGTCAGGTGTTTTTTATTTTTGATAGCCTTGGCCTGAGTTATTCAGTATTGTTGACATAGGAAACAATGCAATGACAAATAGTAGTGGTGACAGTGCATCTCTTTGAAATATTCCTCTCTTGATATTAACCTCTCCCAGTCTCTCAGCATTGACCTGCAACTGTGTCTTCCATTGTGTCATCAATCTTTGCACAAAGCTTCTGGTGTTTCTTCTGATTCCTGTTATTTCTAAGCACTTGATTCTAAGTCATGTGGCATAGAGTTGAATGCCTTTTTGAAGTCAATCCATGGTACATTCAGGTTAGTCTTCCTTCTCTTGCAGTTTTCTAAAATCATTTTGTTAATTAAGAGTTGATCTTTTGTTCCTCTGCTATTGGGGTGGTTTCGTTTCTGCTCAGCTGAAAATAGATTGTTTTCAATTGGATGCTGTTGGACTGTATCAGCTACCACGTCTGTTAACAATTTGAAAATTGTTGGTAAGCAGGTAATTGGCCTGTAGTTGCCTGGTGCTGCCCCTTTTGGTGGATCTTTCATTATCACGTAGGTTTTGCCAGATGTTAGCCACTTTTCAATTTCACCTTCTTGTAGCACGTTGTTAAACCAGAGGTGGTATTCAGAAGGTTCTGACCAGTTCTGGAGAACCGGTAGCAGAAATTTTGAGTAGTTCGAAGAACCGGCAAATACCACCTCTGACTGGGGATTTTACAGTGTCCTTCCCCTGCCATGCCCACCAAGCCACGCCCACAGAACCTGTGGTAAAAAAAAATTGAATCCCACCACTGTGTTAAACTGCTTGGCAATGAGTGGGTACAAATCAGTTAGATATTTCAACTAAAAACCATGCAGTTATCTTCACCTGGTGCTGACCAGTTCTTGATCTTCCTTGCTCTTTTCTCTACCATTTCTGCTGTTATTACTAGTTCTTTCATTTCAACTTCTTTTTTATTCTTATCCACCTCTTTTAACCAAGCTGCATCCTTGTCGTATTTCTGGGTTATCCCATATCTGCACCCAGAACTGCACTGTTTCTTCCTTGTCAGGTACTAATTGATTCACTGCAGTTTCTCCATTGATGGATTGGTAGAAAAATTTCTGATTGGAGGTTTTGCTTATAAGTTGCAATTCGAACTTCATATCTGCTTATCTTCTTGGCTACAACCATTATTTCCTGCTTTATTATTTCCAATGCTTCCTTAATCTTCCTTATTTCTAGGTGGTATTTCTTGATTAAGTATTCTTTGGTCTTCTTGTTTTTCAGTTTTTATTTTATCTATTGTAGCTTGCTTGCATCTGATCTCAATTTGCTGATCTTATTTTCCAGTCTAATCTTTTTGTGGTGCACTGTTTTTCCCCTCTTCTTTGTTGATTTTACATCCCAGGTATTCGGTTATAACTGCAGCTGTGCTGTATATTAGTTGGTTTCTTTCTTGCAGTGAGTTGATGCTTGATATTGCAGTATTTGCATCTTTTAGTGCTTGTGCTAATGTTTCTTTGAAACAAGCTTCAATGCAGTCAACTTTATTCTGGTGGTCTTATTTTTTTCTTTTTTCTTTGCTATTCTAGGTGCTCAGTTATTCTTTGTTTCAGTTCTTTAACTTCTTTAGTTAGAGGGCGTTGTTCTTCCTGAGGCAGAGGAGAGTGCCTGGTTTCCAAATGAAAACAGTTGTATATATCATGTTAGTTTTGTATCTTCCTTTCCTTCAATGTCCTTCAAGTATTGACTGTGCATAGCCTTCTTTTTCCACTTAGGAACTCGAAGCTCAATTGTTTCTTTTCAATATTCTGCTTTCAATCTTGTTGTTTTCAAGAGGTTTCCCTTGTTCACCTCCTTCAGCAGAGGCTCTTTTGCTTTTTTTATGTAGTCATTTAAGCCGTGTTTTCCCTCTTCCACAGTTTGTTTCACCTATAAGAGTCCTCTGCAATGCTGAGATCTTGGCAGGTATAATAGATCAGTATCATTTTTGAGTGCAGAGTATGGTGCATTGTCATTAGTTTTTTTTTTCTTTCGATCCAAATTATCAAATTCTAGCTGAATCCAATCAATTATTCCAGCTGAGTATTGTATTACAGGCACTGCCCAGATGTTAATTGCTTTTATGATATTTCTTCCGCTCAGCTTTTATCTCAAAATTTTCCAGGCTTGTTTTATGTATTTTGTTGAAGTAGTTTCCTTCATTTGGTT